TTGAGCCACAGGCGCCGAGCCAAGACCTCGTCTCTTAAAAAAAAAAAAATGGGTGGCGCCTGTGGCTCAAAGGAGTAGGGTGCCGGCCCCATATGCCAGAAGTGGTGGGTTCAAACCCAGTGCCGACCAAAAACTGCAAAAACAAAATTGCCGGGGGTTGTGTGGAGTGCCTGTATTCCCAGCTACTTGGGAGATTGAGGCAAGGTGCTCTCGAGCCCAAGAGTTTGAGGTTGCTGTGAAATATGACACCACGGTACTCTACCAGGGGCAAGACAGTGAGACTGTCAAAAAAAAAAAAAAAAAAGAAAAGAAAAAGAAAGAAAGAGAGAGAGAGAAGGGGGAAGGGGGGGGGAAGAAAGAGAGAGAAAAGAGGTAGGCAAAGTAACAAGAGAGAGTCCCTTACTTATCTATCTCTTCCAAATAAGGCAAAACACAAATAAAACGGGTCCGTTTGGAATGCCAGGTGTATCCAGAACCAAAGAGCCCCCCTACCTTCAAATCAGGCAGCAACTTTTCAGCCTCTTTCTGGCTGCTTAGCAGAGTCCCAAAGTTAACTCCTTTGAAGATCCTCATGATGCTGGAGAGCTAGATAAAAAGGAAATAAATGAGAGAAGGTGGAAAAGATTTGTAATGGAGCTAACTAGAGGAAGGGAGAAGGGTTTGAAGGCCAGGGAAGGAGGAGGCAAAAATCCTATCTGAAATCCTCCTCATGAGGAAAAAAAACTCATGCCAGGACGCCCGGCTCTGCTTATAAAGTGACGCTTCCGTTCTCCCTTTCTCCGGGCTGATCATTACCCCGCTAGTATACCACCCCAGTCTGGGGCCTCCGCCGAGTTCTTCAGAGCCCACTTGGATGTCCCAAGATCTCCCGACACATTCTCTCAGAGCCGCCCCCGGCTTTCCCTAGAGTCAGCGCTGGGGACCTCATTCACCTTGGCGCGTACGGTACGGACGCTTACGGGTCCCTCCCAGCCTTATCGCCCCAGAAGTCTCCCGGGTTCCCACGTCCAGGACCTACCAGCCAGACTAAGTATCCCGCAAGGATCGAAAATGTAACTTCGTTTTCCGCGCCAGCCCCTCCTTTCAAATATGCACAGCGGCCAATCAGCAAGGGCTGCGTAACGCCGGCGTGCCGCGCGGTGCGCAGGGAGTTGTAGTTTGCCCGCCGCGCGGTCTCACCTCGTGACCCCCCGCGAGGTTCCCCCCTCCCCGCCCCCCGCTGCTCTGGGCGTTAAGGCCTCTTGGGGGCGCAGGATTCCCCTCTTTTCCCCCGCCCTCCAAGTTTGATCTGAGTTCTTCAGCTGCTGATCGCTTTCTAAGTCGCTATCGGGAAAGCCAGCCTTTGGCTTTCCCTTCTCAGGCAAAAATTTAAATTTCAAGAGAAGAGAAATACGCTAGACAACAGAAAAAGCTTGGAAACTCACGAGGTTTGGATTACTAGGAAAAAAGGGCATATCCTTCTGGGGTGGCACCTGTGGCTCAAAGGAGTAGAACACCAGCCCCATATGCCGGAGGTTGGGGAGTTCAAACCCAGCCCTTGGCCAAAAGCTGCAAAAAAAAAAAAAAAAAAAAAGAGCATATCCTAATATGAAATTCTTTTAAAATACAGTTTTTGAGGGCACTGAAATGAGTACCCACGGACCTCCAGCTCTTTACCTGCATGTCTTGCTCATTGTGTCAGGAAGACAGAATCTGGGTGGTGCCTGTGGCTCAAAGGAGTAGGGCACCGGCCCCATATGCCCAAGGTGGTGGGTTCAAACCCAGGCCCGGCCAAACACTGGAAAAAAAAAAAGGAAGACAAAATCTACTGTTTTTTGATGGGAGAAGGGGGTGGGATGAGGATGTGAATAACAGAAGAACTAGGAAAATTCATTTTCTGGGATCTTTCGCAGTCTTTAATGGCTTATGTTTGGTAAGTACTAACCACTTCCTCAAACATGAAGATTCAGCTGGCTCCATCACAAAACTCAGCTATTTTTTTCTATTTCTAATAGAGATGAGGTCTGCCTCTTGCTCAGGCTTATCTCAAACTCCTGAGCTCAAGCGATCCTCCTGCCTCAGCCTCCCAGAATGCTAGCATTACAGGTGTAAGCCATCTCACATCCAGGCTGGGGAAGATTATTTTTCCAAAAACAAAATAATAATAATAATTGTAATCCTGGCACTCTGGGAGGCTGAGGCGAGTGGATTGCCTGAACTCACAGGGGTTCTTTTTGTTTGTTTGTTTGTTTTAGACAGAGTCTCACTTTATCCCCCTCACTAGAGTGCCGTGGTGTCACACAGCTCACAGCAACCTCCAACTCCTGGGCTTAGAAGTAATTCTTTTTTTTTTTTTTTTTGCTTGTACGAAAGGTGTTATTTGGTGGGGGGAGGGAGGCTGCAGAGCAACACCAAGAAGGAGAGAAAAGAGGAGAGAAAAGAGGGGAGAGAGATAAGGAGAGAGTGGGGAAGAGAAGAGAGTAGAGAAGAGCAAGGGGGAAGAGGGGGAAAAGAGAGAGCAGAGAAGAGAGATAGAGAAAGGTGGGAGAGAGCAAGGGCTTAGGTAATTCTCTTGCCTCA